GTAGAAGCTGTTAGAGGTTTGAAGAAATAGTCATCTGGGCGACTGGACACTGTGATTGTCAGGTAGCACTAAGGTTCCACCTCAGTTTAGTATTTATGAGTGTAAAGTGAAATCACCCACATCTAGATGCAAGGGTGCAGCAAAAAGTGGGCATATGAGCAGTTTTAACTAGGATTGGGGTTTTCCAGGCTGCTATGACAAAATTTATGGCAGAGGAGCTGAAGATGTTTATGAGGGAGTGAGACTATTGATGAGCTATTGAATCCTACGTTGAAAAGGGCAGAAAGTAAGGCTATGAATGAAGTTAGAGTGGAATGGTGAAACTGTATTCAAATCAGTTTTTTGTTAAGTCATATAAAGGGTTGAAGAATTTGTTAGAAGTGGGGTATCAGGAAGTGAATTAGGAAGTTAAGAGGTGATGCTAAGTTTGTACAGTGTTTGAAATACAGATTAAGAGGATATGGTTGCAAATAAAATCTTTTTTAAAAAGAAGGTATGGTTGTCGATAATGAGAGGGGCTTAAAGCATGTCATGGGACTAAGTGGCTAAGATAGAGTAAAGATAGCATTCTTGGAGGAGGAATCAAGGAACTGAGAGGCTGGATAGGAAGATGAACTTTCATTAATCTTGAAGTTTCCAAGATTTAAGTTAGATGTAATGTTGGGAAGAGTGACAGTGAGCCAGGAGTTGAATTCCTCACAGCAAGAGGGAGGGATATGAAACATGAACTTTAAAGCCATGCTAATTTTTCTTAGAGTTTGGAAGGATATTGGTCTGAATCTAGCAATGAGGAGTAAGGAGGATGCCTTGTACTAGCAGTATGAAAGTATGGGAGAGAAAGGAGTCTCTGCTTGAGAAGCTTTCAGAAAAATAGTGTCCTTAGGGAGAGCCAGGTATGCCAGTAAACTGTTAGAGCAAGAAGGTAGAGGACAGCATTCAGGAAAGAGGTTAGACAGGTGGAGAATTTTGATGATGATTGACTAGTAAGTTTAACGGTGATCACAGTGAATTGGTGTAGTGCTTAAAATAGCATTAGATAAGTAGCTTTATATGACTGTGTGGGAATGAGAATTCTAGTAATAAGAGATAGTTTATGAACTTGGGAGTTAATGGGAATAGAGAGTGATGGAATTAATTATGGTATCTCTAACATCTTATAATGTTACAAGCTGGTGGTGCTGATCTAAATGTTGCCAGCACACTTTGGCCACTCCTGTGTTTTAATATAATTGGAGTGCCCATTGTGGTACAGCAGGTTATGCTGCCACTTGGGACACCCATGTCATGTATCAGAGTGCAGGTTCAAGTTCTAGCTACTCTGCTTTTGATCTGGCTTCTTGCTAATAATGCATCCTGAAAGGCAGTAGATGATGGCCCAGTTGCTTGGGACACCCACCCGCATGGGAGACCTGAGTGGAGTTCCTGGCTCCTGGCTTCAGTTTGGCCCGATCCTGGCTGTTGTGGGCATTTGGGAAGTGAACTAGTGGATGGATGATCTCTCTTATCTCTCTGTCTCTGATTGACTCTCAGCTCTGCCTTTCAAGTAGCTAAAAATACATAAAAATGAAAACATTCAAAAAATTAAAATTATTTTTCAATTTAGTACGATCAAGAAAATATGTATTGGCCAAAACAAAATAAGATTTTAATTACAGTTAGCTTGAAGGATAAATGGGACCATCTGTGATTCTGAGCATTCATATTTACATTATGAGCACCTGTCACTAGGTTGTACATATGTTAAATCCTTAAGTATTAAACTTTGAAATATTGATTAATGTGCCTTGGTGATTTCTTAATTTTGCTTTTGGCTCATAAAATGTATAGACTATGTCTGCTATTATGCATTTTGTCTCTAAAATCTACAGAAATAAGAAGTGATTCTGAGAACTAGGAAGTACAGGAACTATATATAGGAGTGGAAGTAACAGGATGTAGATTCAAAAGGAAGATTGTCAGTTCTGTGTTCTGTATAGCAATAAGTTGCCATTTAGTAGTCCAGGTCCCGAGCCTGTTTTTCTCTCATGATGACAGACAGAAGTTGGACCAAATACTTGGCCCTTTCCTATTCATGTGGGAGACCAGGATGGAGTCCCTGGCTCCTGACTTCTGCCTGGCCTAGCCCTGGCTGTTGTAGTCATTTGGAGAGTAAACCAGCAGATAGAAGATCTCTTGTCTTTTCCTGTCTGTTGTTCTGCCTTTCAAATAAATAAATAAATCTTTAAAACTTAAAAAAAATAATTTAAACTAAGGTCTAATTGCAGATCACATACTACATTACTACATTCAGATGTATTTTTTTGTTTTTTTTTAAGGACTTATTTTGGGGCTGGCGCTGTGGTGTAGCAGGTAAAGCCCCCACTTGCAGTGCCAGCATCCCACATGGTGCTGGTTCGAGTCCTGGCTGCTCCACTTCTGATCCAGCTCTCTGTGGTGGCCTGGAAAAACGGTAGAAGATGGCCCATCTTCTGCACCTGTGTGGGAGACTTGGAAGAAGTCTCCTGATTTCACTTTGTCCCAGCCAAAGTCATTGTAGCCATTTGGGGAATAAACTGGCAAATGGAAAATTTCTCTTTCTGTAACTGTTTCAAATAAAGAAATATTAAAAAACAACAACAAAAAAGATTTTATTTATCCAAAAGGCAGAGTTAGAGGAGAGGGAGAGACAGAGAGAGAAATCTCATGTTTCTTTAATTAATTTTAATCCAGAACAATGCCTCTGCATATGTGTAATTTTTTCTTCTTTCCCCCAAGCCATTTATTTATTATAATTATTTGTTTGAAAGGCAGTGAAAGAAAAAGAGACAGAGATCTCTGATCTACTGGTTTACTTCCCAGTAGATCTGGACTAGGTTGGAGCCAAGAACCAGAAGCTCAGTCTGGGTTACCCACGAGGGTATCAGGGACCCAACCACTTGACTATCTCCTTCTGCTTTTCAGGGTTCACATTGTAGAAAGCTGAGTTGGAAATGGAGGTGGGACTTGAATCCAGGCATTCTGACATGGAATGTGAATGTTCCAAGTGGCATCTTAACGACTGTGCCAAATGTCCCTACTCTCACTGATTTATTTGGAAGACCAAACTTATTACACAGAATTGTTAGATAAATCAACATTGTGAGTTTGTCTGTTTCCATTTTTGGTGTTACTTAACTTGTTCCTCTGTGTTCTGTATTTCCTGTAAATTGGAAAGTAGAACATTCATTAATTTAGAGCAAGCCTTTTGATGAGGAAATGTTATAGGCGATGCCATATACTTCATATTACTTTGAATCAAGAGGCATATAATGTTGGTATATTCCACGTGTGATGTAAAGTTAGATTACTTGTCAAGGTGGTGACTGCCACATCCCTACAGTGAAGAAATTTCTTCACTGTAGGGAAGTTAGTATTACTATGTATTAGTGTGTACTAAGTTAGTATTCTGCACTTAGTGAATAGCTTCTATGAGGACAGTATTAGAAATTTTGCATCTACAACTTACCTTTTCATTCATCAGTTACTTCAGGGTTTTTAAGTTTCTCTTCATACTATAAACTCTTTCCAGTAGCATCAGTATTCACAGCAAATATGAATAAAATTAATAGAAGGTTACCAAACTTCATCTTGGATTAGCAAGAATTAAAATTGATGATATCTTTGGGTATGGAGTATTCTTAAGAATATAGGAGGCATGGCTGGCACCATGGCTCACTTGGCTAATCCTCCACCTGCGGCACTGGCACCCCGGGTTCTAGTCCCGGTTGGGGTGCTGGATTCTGTCCTGGTTGCTCCTCTTCCAGTCTAGCTCTCTGCTGTGGCCCAGGAAGGCAGTGGAGGATGGCCCAAGTGCTTGGGCCCTGCACCCGCATGGGAGACCAGAAGGAAGCACCTGGCTCCTGGCTTCAGATTGGTGCAGTGCGCCAGCTGTAGTTGCCATTTGGGGGGTGAACCAACGGAAAAAGGAAGACCTTTCTCTCTGTCTCTCTCTCTCACTGTCTAACTCTGCCTGTCAAAAAACAAAGAAACAAAAAAAATGGATATAGGAGACAAAGGAGTTTCTGTAGCTGCTGGTGGGTATATTTTTAGAGGGTATTTAGGCAGTATTTATAAAAGTATTTTGCCACTCTTATTTCTTTATTTCCATGTGTTTCCACTATGTATATACTTATAAAGGTCCAGCTCTGTGCACACAGACACAAACACACACACATGTATGTCATTGAAACATTATTTTAAAATTTATTATTTGAGAGGCAGATAGATGGACACAGATGGACAGAGAGAAATACCATTTGCTGGTTCACTCTCCAAATGCTCACAGTGACCAGAGCTAGGCTGAGGGCAAAGCTGGGACTCAGGAATGTAACTCAGGTCTCCTGCATGGATGGCAGGGACCCAACTACTTGTGCCATCACCCCTGCCTCCAAGGGTCTGCATTAGCAAAGAACTGGAGTCAGAAGCTGGAGCCAGGAATTGAACAAGGGTATTGTAGGATAGGACATGGGCATCTTAACTACTAAGCCAAGTGCCCGCCTCAAGGAACATTATTTTTAATAGCAAAAGAACTGTTAGCAACATAAATGTCATCTAGCAGCCAAAAAGAAAGGTGCAATGTTATGGGCTTCATCAAACTGAAATTATTCTTGTTCTCAGAATGTTTCTTTTAGCATTCTGGTTTCATTTCCTAGATGTTGTGGCTTTTCTTACAATGTCTTGTTTTTATTTTTGTTTTTCTTTTTACTCTGTTATATATATAAATATATAGAAAATTAAAGATGAAATCAGGTACCTCTGTCATACCTATGCTTCTAATTCTTATTAGAGTTTAGAAACAAGCATTCAGAGTAAATATTTAAATTTTTACTAATCTCACAAGAATCAAGTATAAGTCACACAATAGAGAAGTAGCATCTTAGTAAGTAAGAAAATTTTTGGCTGTATATCAGTGATAGTAAAATTCTTAAAATGGAAAAACCTGTCACTTTTAATATCTTTGTATTTTTTATTCTTTTAAACAGTTCGTTTTCCTGAAGATCTTGAGAATGACATTAGAACTTTCTTTCCTGAATATACCCATCAGCTTTTTGGGGATGAGTAAGTAACTAAGTAAAATGTTTGCCAAATTGATATGGCCTCCTTAAAAATAACCTTTGATTTTTTTCTTTAAGATTTATAAATCAGATTTCTTTTTAAACTAGTAATTTTCATGTGGTTTATCTTAAAATGTATATTAGAATGGTATTTTTTAAAAAGATTTTATATATTTACTTGAAAGGCAAAGTGATGGGGAGGGGAAGATAGATGTCTTTCCATCCACTGATTTACTCCTCAGTTGCAATAGCCGGGACTGGGCCAGGCCAAAGCCTGGAATTTCATTTATGACTCATACATGAGTGACAGGGACCTGAGTACTTAAATCATAATCTGCTGCCTCTTGGGGTGCATTGGCAGGGATCTGGATTGGAAGTAGAGGTGTGACTCAGTCCTAGGCACTCTGATATGGGATACAGGCATCCCAAGTGGCTGCTTAACTTGCTGTGCCATAATACTCAGTATTATTAGTATTATTAGTATTTTTTTTTTACATTAAGATGCTAGTCTCTGGAAAACTCCCATTTGGTGCCATAAATGCGTTATATCATTTAATTCTTGCCATAGTATTAACAATAGTATTATTATTTGCTGCTTTGTATGTTGGTGGAATTGGGTAATTGCCGAAGGACATATGAATGACTAGAGTTTGGACAGACAATCTGACTGTAGAGCTCATACTCATAACAACTGCCTTGTTTTACACTGTTTGCTATCTTACTTTTAGTACATCATATACTCCCTTAAAATTTGAAACGAAAGTTATTATTTTGTGATTAAATAAGCTATGTCATGCTATCGCTGTGGCATAATGGGTAAAATCACGTTTTGCAGTACCAGCATCCCATATGGGTGCTGGTTTGAGTCCTGGCTGCTCCACTTCCGATCCATCTCCCTGCTAATGCACCTGGGAAAGCAACAGAAGTTGTCCCAAGTGCTTGGGCCCCTGTACCCCAAAAGAAGCTCCTGGCTCCTGGCTTTGGGTCAGCCCAGCACCAGCTGTTGCAGCCATTTAGAGGAATGAACCAGCAGATGGAAAAGATCTCTCTCTACCTCTCTGTAATCTGCATTTTAATAAATAAATAAATAAATCTTTACATATCTCTCTCATATATATATATCTTTTACATATGTATAAAATAAGCTGTGTCCTAGGAAATTGAGCATGGTTCTTTGATTTCCTGTACCTTCACTATATTGTTAGAACATTACATTCCCATTTTCTTAAGTTGTTTAATTTTCCAAAAAATGTCTTATTTTCAAAAAGTTACTTGTATAAAGAACTCTATATTCTTTGCCTGAATTTTCCAGTTAACATTTAATCACCATTGTTTTAGTCATTCTCTCTTCTATTACAAATACAATGTCAAACCATTTGAGAGTTAGATTGCGAATAGATCTTGATCCATTACTCCTAAATCCTTCATTATGTGTCTTCTAAAAACAACAGCAAAAAAATAACATGGTAGAATGATCAAACTCAAGAAATTTACTACTGGGGGTTAGTGTTATGGATTGCCACTACTGCATCCCATGTCAGAGTTCCAGTTGAGTATAGATTCATTTTGTAGAAGGCTTATTTCAGATTGGTTTGATTAGCTTCTTTGTGATTAGGTTCAGATAATACATTTTTTTTTTTTTAGTTTTTATTTTTTCAAGATTTATTATTTTATTTATTTGAAAGACAGAGTTACAGAGAGACAGAGAAAGAGAGGTATTCCATCCACTGGTTCACTCCCCAAATGGCCACAACGACTGAAGCTGAGCTGATCCGAAGCTAGTAGTCAGGAACTTCTTCTGAGTCTCTCACATGGGTGCAGGTGCTCAAGGACTTGGCCCATCCTCAGCTGCTTTCCTAGGCGCGTTAGTAAGGAGCTGGATCAGAAGTGGAACAGCTGGGACTCAAACCAGTACCCATATGGGATGCAGTGTTGCAGGCCTGGGCTTTAACCCTCTGTGCCATAGCGCTGGCCCTAGATAATGCGTATTTTTGTGATAGCACTATAGGAGTTAGCACTTCTGTGTCCTCCCTGTATCACATTAAGAAGTCCCTGTCACCAGTTTGTCACCTTGTTTATTATGTTAACTTAGATTACTTAGTTTTGAGTAGTCTTGCAGGCTTTTCTACTATAATGTTAACATTTTTCTCTTTGCAATTTATAACTAAGCTGTGGGGAGGTTCTTTGAGACTGAATGATACCATTTCCCATCAAACTTTCAGTCAGTAGTGTTAGTACCCATTATTGATTTTTGTCTGAATCAGTTTTTTTCTAAAGATAATCATAAAATGGTGATTTTCTGACTATTATACCTTCTACATTTATTAATTGGCATTCTACTTTAAGGTAGTAAGTACATCTGTTCTTCCCCTTAGAGGAGACTCAAGAATTCTATCCCTCTTTTATTTTTTTTTATGGAAAGTGAGAAGAAAAGCAAGATGTATTTTTTAATAATTTTTTTTTATTTGAAATGCATAATGACACAGAGAGATATCTCCCAGCCACTGGTTCACTCTCCAAATGGCTGCAATGGGCTGGGGCTGGGGCAGGCCAAAGCCAGGAGCCAGGAACTCCATCTGAGTCTCCCACGCGGGTGGCAATGGCCCAAGTACTTGAGCCATCTTCTGCTGTAGATAGCATGATTTTTCACCCCAAAATAATTCAGTGTAAGTTTCAGGTAAGGATTATTTGTAAAACATAACCATGCCATTATCATACCCACAAAATTATTAAGTATTTAATGTCTATAATCAAATATGTAGTCATGTTTAGATTTACATTTTCTAGTTTTTTTTTAATCCAGATAAAGTAAGGTCCTTATTGTAGTCAACATGTTTCTTAAATCTAAAAAATTTTAAATCCTTCTATAATCTTTTTCTCCCTGATCCCTGCTCCTATAGAAACCCCTAGTCTATTGTATCATTTATTTTATTTAAGGAATACAGACTTAATGCATTTCATAAGTACAACTTTAGGAATATAGTAATTCTTCCCATCATACCCACCCTCCCACCCACCAGCCCACCCCTCCTCCACCTCTCTCTCCCATTCCCAGTCCCATTCTCCACTAAGATCCATTTTGATTAACTTTATACATAGAAGACCAACTCTATACTAGCTAGAATTCAACAATTTGCATGAGAAAACCAAAAAAAAAACCCAAACAAAATAACTCTATTCCTCAACAGTCTGATACAAGAGCTGTTCAAAAGTCATTGCATCTTGAAGTTAATTTCACTTTTTTTTTTTTTTTAGAAACTTAATTAAGTTTAATGAAGCACCCAAGAATAATACATCTTTGGGAGTATTTAGACATAGTTATGCTACAACTCTTTGAGGATAGAGGTCTTACATGGGAAGTTAGTGCACTGTGACTCTTGTTTATATATATATATATTTTTTTTTTTTTGACAGGCAGAGTGTATATATATATATATTTTTTTTTTTTTGCATGACAGAGCAGGCCAGAGTGCAAAGAGACAGAGAGAAAGGTCTTCCTTTTTGCCATTGGTTCACCCTCCAATGGCCGCCGCGGCTGGCGCACTGCAGCCAGCGCATCGCGCTGATCTGAAGCCAGGAGCCAGGTGCTTCTCCTGGTCTCCCATGGGGTGCAGGGCCCAAGGGCTTGGGTCATCCTCCACTACACTCCCGGGCAATAGCAGAGAGCTGGTCTGGAAGAGGGGCAACCGGGACAGAATCTGGCGCCCCGACCAGGACTAGAACCCGGTGTGCTGGCGCCGCAGGCGAAGGATTAGCCTATTGAGCCTTGGCGCCGGCCGCTAATATTTTTTTAAAGATTTATTTATTTGGCCGGCGCCACGGCTCAATAGGCTAATCTTCTGCCTGCGGTGCTGGCACACCGGGTTCTAGTCCTGGTTGGGGTGCTGGATTCTGTCCCGGTTGCGCCTCTTCCAATCCAGCTCTCTGCAGTGGCCCAGGAGTGCAGTGGAGGATGGCCCAAGTGCTTGGGCCCTGCACCCGCATGGGAGACCAGGAGAAGCACCTGGCTCCTGGCTTCAGATCAGCGTGGTGCGCCGGCTGCAGCGGCCTTTGGGGGGTGAACCAATGGAAAAAGAAGATCTTTCTCTCTGTCTCTTTCTTTCACTGTTCACTCTGCCTGTCAAAAAAAAAAAAAAAAGATTTATTTATTTGAAAGGCAGAGGTGTACAGAGAGGCAGAGACAGAGGGAGAGGTCTTCCATCCACTGGTTCACTCCCCAGTTGACTAGAGTGGTCAGAGCTGTGCTGATCCAAAGCCAGGGGCCAGTAGCTTCCTCCAAGTCTTCCCACACAGGAAGGACTTGGGCCATCTGCTACTGCTTTCCCAGGCCATACCAGAGAGCTGGATGGGAAGTGGAGCAGCCGGGATTCGAGTTGGTGCACATATGGGATGCTGGCACTGCAGGCAACGGGTTTATCTGCTAACCAACAGCACCAGCCCCGACTCTTGTTAATTTAACAATTAACACTCTTAGTATGACATCAGTGATCATCTGTGGCTCTTAACATGAGCTGCCTAGGCTGTGGAAACCTTTTGACTTTACAAACTCTGTTATTATTTAGACAAGTCCATAAGCAAAGTGAAAGTTCTCTCCTCCCCTCAGAAAAAAAAAAAATACCTACTTTGATGACCGCTTGTTTCCACTGGGGTCTTACCCACAGAGATCCTTCATATAGGACATTTTTGCCTTAGTGTCTTGGCTTTCCTTGTCTAAAACGCTCTCATGCGCTTTTCAGCCAGACTAGAATGCCTTAAACGTTGATTCTGAGGTCAGAGTGCTATTTAAAGCGATTGTCATTCTATGAGTCTGTTAGCAGACTGCCTCCCATGTTGGAGCATTCACTCCTTTGAATTCTGTTATTACCAGATCCTTAATCCTATCCATATGATCACTTTAACACTTAAGATGGTATTTTTATCACCTAGCTTAAGAGGATTTGGGGCCCCATGGCAAGTTTTAAAACTGTACCCTTAGAAGTAATATATGCAGAATGGTATAGTTTT